ACTACTACTACTACTACTGCCGCCAGCACCAGATGAATGCATGACAATATTCGCGACACTAAATGATCATGGAATAATCGCAACTGTAGGACGAAGCAGAAAGGATGTGAGATCACAGCGTTCGTAATTCAAATAATGTTCAGGATTGTACGAACAGAGAGTCTAAGTGGCGAGACTGGACATGATGAGCGTGTCAGTATGTGCGAGGCATGAAGCTGATGCCCTGGATTTGCGGAGTCTCTGCCGCCACGAAGCTCTGCAGCCAGGCGCTACGATTTCTCCCTAGGCATCCCTTCACGGGCTCCATCTAACGAGCTGTTTTTTGCGGGTGAAGCGAGAACCCGGCCAGGCCGAGCAGATGGCCAGCTGCTTCCTTGCATTTGTGTGCAGCTGCATGCGGGGCTTGTGTTTCAGAACAGAGTGCTGCAGTAGCTAACATGCCATGGCTTTGCCTGAGGCAACGGCACGATGCCGGCGCCGCGAGAGGAGGATTATCCCTGACCGTCCGGTTGTAGATGGGTTGCGGATGACTTATTTTCTAGAAAAAGATGGGTCATGGATAGTGTCACTCACTTGACATCCACAGAAGAGTGTAAAGCTCCTTGGCACGGCCTCGCCGGGATAGTGACTGCAACGGTATGTTTACGGAATCATAAACACCTAATGTCCCAAACCTTCTAAAACACACCGACAGCCCGGTAGGCAATCGCTTAAATGGTCCGGCAAGCTGCCCCGCCGAGCCGCGAATTCCACCAGGAGACTTTGGACCTGGAACCGCTCGCAGAAGCTGCTTCAAAGGGTGCCTTCGGCGGTCCAGCAGATCCTTTTGATTTCCATACGCTGCCATCACATTTCGTCATCTCAATCACCGTGTTGAGTGCCATGTTCGTCAGCATCATTAGTGCAGTGCCATCACCATACTCATCGTCGTCGTCATCATCACACCATCACAAGTACCATCACCATACTCATCGTCGTCATCATCATCATCATCATCATCGCCATCGCCATCGCCATCGTCATCATCATCATCATCATCACAGTAGTTCTCCCTCTCGCCATGCCCATCAGCACCGGAACTACCCACAGTATCAACAAATATGTGTGCTCATTGCTTCTCTGTCAGAGTCTGAGTAGCCGTGCGTTTGGCTGTGCCTTTTGACCTAGGACCTAGGGCTCGTTCAATCTCCACTGGCCGGAAGGTGTCTTGCACACCAACGCGAAGTCGACGTGCTTTGATGCGCTCCACTGGTTCGTGGTCCATGGTGGGGTCGGCCCTGCAGCTGCAGCAAGTTCTGGTCTAACAGATGCAGCAAAAGATGAGTCCACGACCTCTGCTGAGCTGCAACGAGCTGCTGTCAGCTGACACTGCCGAGGTGTGGACGAAAAAGAGTGGCCTTTTCTGGAGGCCATGTACAAGATGCTAAAGCTGGAGGACAGGGTGCAGAGACCTTCCCAGCGTCCGAAACTCGATCTCATCGTCATTCTGATGCTCGGTGGAGTTGAATGGCCCCTGGTTCTGCCAGGAGCGTCCGACTCTGCAGTCAGATGTGGACATTGAGGCAGTTCGCGGCCAAAATTGACCGTGCTTCTGGCTTGGCTCTTGAGTTTTCTCTCGCACAGCCTGCCGGCTACGATACCTCCGGCACCAAATATATATATGGTCCCACACTATGTCATGTGAGCAATACATTTGGCAGGGGCCAGCACAAGCTGCGCTCAAAACTCTCCAAAACAAATGTTTGAATGCATCAAAGAGCAGAGTACTCGTGAAGCGAGCCCAAATGACTTTGTCCGCTCGGACTGCAGGTGCAGGAGGTGTGCTTCCCGAGTTGCACTGGGACCTGGGATGAGGCCAAGTGTGGCCCAAAGCCCGTGCCTGGGACGTATCAAGAAAGCATAGGTGTCATTGTTGCCACCACCCAATGTTAAATACGAGTAGAACAACGTTTTCCCTTCATCCGAGCGAAGATTCTGCTGCGGTTGTCCCAGGTAACTGCGACTAAAGCTCCGATTGCAGCAGCGCCGGAGCTGGTAACGCCACACCCGGATCTGCCGGAAGTGCAGCACTCAGAGACAGTCCCGATCCAACCAGATGCACACCCTGTCCCGTCCGTATCATTTCCTGCCCACAACTTCGCCGCCTCTGTCAGGGCCACAGAGCATGCAGTGGTGTGTTAGTACTGTACAATCGATTGGGACGTAGAACGGCTGCTGCGTCTTTTCGCTGCCTCGGCAAAGCCGCAATTTCCGAAAACAAACATGCATCCTCAAGAGGCAGCCTTAAGCACGAATTTTGCCTGAGGAGGTCCTTGTGAGACTTGTTTTAGAATGCAACTTAGTTCGGTTGGGGTCTTGCTGCGTCCTTGCAACGGTTCTGTCGGCAGCACTCTTGATTGGGTTGCGTCGAATACTGTTGGAGTCGTTGCATTGTATCAAGGTTGGGCACCGATGCATCTCCAAGTGGAAATTGCTCCCGAAGTCCTGGTTCGAGTAGTTGGCAGTCTATCAGGATGTAGTTTAGCTTCGTCACTTCAGCGATGTGTGGCTTGTGCATCTGCCTTGGACATGCCTCCCAGCTTGCGACCTGCCTGAACCGAAGCCGGACCCAGCGAGGTGCCCTACACGCCGATTCTCTCCAAAACGCGGCTCGGCAAGTTCCGCCAGGCGCCACTTTGCTCCGCGGTTCCCCAAACCCATTCGCAGCGACATTTGCTTTGCAGGAGCTCTCCAACCCAGAGACGGGCCCTTGGCTTTGGATCTCGCTGGCAGGGGTGGCTGGGCCAGCACACGTAGAGGGGGGGGGGGCGTTCGGAGAGCGTACTGCAGGGCACGCGTAAGCTTCGAAGCTGAAGACCCAATTTCTTGTGCGAGGCATGCTTGCTTGGCATATTCTTCGCCCTGCTGTGCTTCCCGCTCTTCCGCTCCAGGGTGGGCTGCTGTGGGGGTTTTGCTCACTGAGCTTTAGACTTTAGACATTGCACTGCGGTGACTGTCTTGAAAACGCAAGGCCAAGTTAAGTTTCAACATTCAAACGGCAAAGCATGTCCTGCTGTCAAGTGCAAGCGACATGACGAGTCGTGTGGGTGTCGGCGTCTTGTACGTTTCGAAATTTGCCCCTGAACAACCCCCACCTTGTTTGCAGGAGCCAGCGATGAAGCCTGCTCCGCGAGTGAAGCAGGCCGGGTTTCGTTTTACCTCACGTCACTTGCCTTCAAAACATGGGATAACATGACATGCGCATCTGCGTGAGGTGGAGGTGATGTATCCAGACCACACGACCGCCTCCGTGAAGCTGATGTTTCTCGGCCCAACATGCCCAACCATGGTCCAGCTTGCAGGAAGATTAGTCTCCCCCCCACCCGCCCAGACTAGAGACATACGCCAACTCTTCCATTATTTCGGCAGCTGGAGGGGGGGGGCGGGGTAAGCCCAAGCTTCGAAAGCCGGGGAGGGTTGGAAAGCCCTGGCCGAGGAAATGAGAGCCAGGGCGAGCCTGAAGCGCGACTCCAGGCACGACTGAAGAGTCACTGGGCGGCGAACTCCTGGAGGGGGGGGGATGTGTCAGATGCAGGTCTTGGGGAGTTGAGGCGAGTCTGTCGTAAGGGTTATCAAGATGAGTAGTAAGGTAGTCATTGTCAGCTGCCCAGCGACTTGTGTCATGTCGGATCTTGAGAGGAAGAACCTCGATCTCCCCTGCCCAGAGGCCTTGTCTCGGGCAGGCGTTAGCCAGGATTTGTCATGTTGACACCGTGCTGTCGATGGTGCCACGGCAACATGAAAGTAGGAAGGGGAGCTTTGCTCATGGGCTGCTGCCAATGCCCGGTGTTGGGAGACTCTTCGGTTTCACTGTCGGCTGAGGGTTGAGCCTCGGCAGTCTGCGACTGGTAATGCAACCAGGAGAGAAGCGCCGACTATCCAGCCCTCAGAACAGGATGTATGCATAATTCGCTGCGTTGGCCTGTGGAAAAGCAGGCCACGCTGGGCCAAGGTGGGCTGGAGCCCCTCCCGTTTTTCACGGGAGGTACGGGATGATGGAGCCGATATTGCAGAGAAACAGTCTGCGGGCCTCCCATGTGGGAGGGGCTCCCCTGCATGCGCTTCTCTCAAAGGAGGGAGGTGAGGCAATGAAGCGAGCTTCCAAAGTGAGAGACCACGGGAAAAAAAAAACAGCCGCCGCACAGCTTCGGAGCCGACTCACTGTGCATAGCCATCCCATTCAGTCAGGGCATCCATTGAAAACTCACAGCTGGTGCATGTGGCTGACTGATCTCATCGCCCAGAGCTTCTAATGTGAGCGAACAGGCTCTGACTACTTCTATCTATCTATATATCTATATCTATCTCTATATATATATATAGATATAGCATCGCAACGGCTCCAGGAGATCTCTTTCCGAATGGACCGCATCGAAGCAGACATGGCTGGCCAGGTAGACAGCCCTCCGAAATTGATGCCTGTGCTCACATGGTTGTGTTTCCCCATCAATCAGAGCCCCGGCAAGTCAACGCGACAGTATTAGTAGTCTTATTGATGGTAGTATCTTCAGTACCAGAACAAGGCAGCTCTCCCAATATTTGTTCTGCTTGTTGCGAGCACTCTCTGCCTCGTCTTTTTGTCAGCCTTGCTGCTGCAAGATTTCGTGTTGGTGTGATCGTGATTGCTGCTGCGTGTCCTGCAGTTGCAGTGGGAAGGACTATACTTGTCGTGTCAGTCTCAGTATCATCATGACCGCTATCACTGCCACTAGTTAACCGGCGCGGTTGTTGCGATTTGCTCGTCATTTCCAGTTTTTGCTGCATTGTGCATCAACGGTTTCCGCCAGTGTGAGGCGCAGCGCCTGCACGACCTAGAAATTGGTCGGCATCGCGTGGAGGCGTTTCGTTTTGCACTTTAGGGTTGGAGTGGGAGCGGCAGTCGTAGCTACAGGAGCTGGCAGAGCTCCAGAGGACGCAGGGCCTTGCCTTCGGCAAGCAGGCTCGGATTTGACAAGATTCTGTCAACAGTCGGCTTGGCACCGCAAGGCTTGTTGTGAAAAGCCGGGCTGGGGGGAACGGCGATGGAGCCAGGAAGCCTCGCTGTCCCTCCTCCGGGAGGACCTCAAGAACGAGCCTGCGATCTCAGAGAGCTTCCGGATTTTAGGGGTGTTGAAGCTAGGCCAGCAGCAGGCAGGGTGAGGTTCTAAGAAACTGTCTTTGAGAGAGCGTGCATATATCAGAGAACCAGGGCCGTTGGCTGGTTGCTGCTGTCGCCCATTCTCCTCCGTCCTCCTCCCACATCCTCCTTCCTCCTCCCCACACCTCCCCTGTCAGAAGCAGCACTAGTGCTGCCACCATCTTTGATGCAGTCATCGCCACCTCCACTGCCACAATCTCATGACCGCCAAGATGTTTGTTCCCCATCCGGCATGTAAGGACACTCATCAGTTTATGTTTCTTTTGCTCATGACAACAATTTCGGCATGCTTCGGCCAAGGCAACGCATTCGGAAAGAGGAGATCTACAGCAAGCAGCGCACCCAAAGCCTCCTGCCTCCTTTTGCAATGCTTGAGCTGCTACAGCACATGGGCACCGCGGATCTGTGCTCTGTGGCGTCCTTTCCCCACGTCAGCTTCGACTTGGGAATAGCTGGTAGCTGGATGCGTTGGCATCGAGGCTGCGGGAACTGGCAGCTCGGCCTGTCCGGCCAGAGGAGCACGGCAGGGCAGCAGGGTGTGAGCTGTTTCTCAATCTACACCTGACAGAGCCCTCGCCACTTGTGCAAAGAGCTTCCTACTTTCGAGGTCTCCTCCTTGTCCTGTGCCAGCAGTCCGGCTTGAAGGGTAGAGCCTAGCCGCCTAGCCTTCCTTGCCTCGGCCACGGTCATGGCTGTGAGAGACTGGAGCTCGAAGGAGTCATGGCTGCACGAAGGCTCGTAGAAACGTCCAGGGAAAAAGGCTGGGTTCACCTAGGAAGCTTGCAGGGCGGCGCCGAAAAGCGCATGTAGGAGCGCTGATGCGTCATGAGACGTTCTTGTTGTCATTGTTGTTGCGGTTGTCGTCACAACGATGATAACATGCATCCACAAGTTCGGACCCTGCCCAGGACCTGGCTGCTGTTCATATTCATATAGTCTCTTCCTTCTGCGTATGGTAAGTTGATTGATGACTTAAGACACCATGAAGCGATCTGATCCCGAGTGCCCTAAACTCCAAGACCGCAGGATCAAGAAGGAGTCGCTGTGTGCGGAGGGGAGGGATTCCTCCACAATTCCCCCAGCAGATTTTGGTTCAGGGAGCTCAATGACAGGATTCGAAATGTGTTTATTCAAGTGTTCCGACCATTGTCAGTTGCAAGGCCGCGAGGTTCAAACTGTTCGCCTTCTGTCCCTTCAGCAAAACTATTTCAGACGAGCTTTCCCAAGTATCAAATCATATTGCTGTGTTCTTTTGCAAGATTCTTGGATTTACAATTCACGTCTAGCTCGCCTGCTACCGGACCACTTTCCAAAAGTTGCACTATAGAAACTACTCGTAAGTTTGAAGTCACCAGCGGCATGCTGGCTTCCGGCATTCGAGCCGTGGATGACTCCTTACGATGAGAATAGTTACACATTTGCATCACTACTATCCACTCCCCTGCAGCTCTGCTAAAGCCGGTGAAGGACAAAAGCAAACGTGACCAGGTCACTAGCAAAAAGTTCCTGCAGCCTTGGCCTATGAGGACAGGCTGAGCTGCTGAAGCTTCTGACCATCGAGACAGAGGCCCGCTGGCGCGGTGAGAGGGTCCGAAATTTTGATCGAGAGTGCAAGCGGAAGGGTGAGCGGGTGCACTGCTCATGCTGCCATGCCTGAAAGCTCAACCTTGAAGCCTGCTATGGCTCAACCGGCTTTTTGTCCAGCTTGAGCGCTTTCACGCGTTGTCTTACCAGGCCTGAAGCTGAGCACAATCATTCCCACTACATCCGTGGAGCACCACACAGCCTTTGGAGCCTGCTACAACCCTGCCCCGTGTTTTTTGTTTAGGACCGGGAGCCTTTGTGCAACATGCCGCCGCCAACTTTCAAGCCGGGGAGCGCAAGTCACGACTTCATCAGGCTCGTGGAACGAACCACGAATGCCCTCGTGACGAAAGAAGATGGTGTCCTGGAGGAGGTCAAGAAGGCCCTGATCCGGGTGCACCAGCAGTATGACCAGGTACATGAAGAGGCGGAGGCCAAGCAGGCGCGGCTCAATCGACTGAGGGACGCAATCCGAACTGCGGACCAAGAGCACATGGACATGAACAAGGGGGAGTCAGCAGACAAAATTTATGAGACCGAGGATGTCTTAAACAAGCAGCTCATAGAGTTGACTGGGTATGATGCAAAGAGAGGGAAGCAGGTCGATGAGAAAGGCGGCCTAATCAAGGAAGCCGAGACGACCCGCAAAGTTTATGAGCACATGCTGAAGCGAACCCAACGCGAGCAAGCAATCGTAAAGCAGAAGCTTTTCAAGTTGGAGGAGCATCTTAGTAGAAAGAATCGTGAACTGCAGCAGAAGCAGACGGAGAGAGAAGAAGCCAGGTGTGCCAAGATTCAGATGGACAAGACTCTAAAGTCTTATGACCAAGAGGCCAAAACGGAGCTGTACGTCCGTGACTCTGCTTTGGAGGCAATACATGGAGAGCTTGAGAAGCGAAAGGAAGCTACAGCAGATCGGGCCAAGCTTGACAGCTGGTTGCAAGGAGTGGCACTGGCCGCAGCCAACGATGCCTTCAATGCCTCGGCTGGACGACTGCGGAAGCTTTATGCCATCGAGAAACTCTCAGGGAATTGCCTTCAGAAGACAACCTTCGAGCAGGTGCAGAGATCACAGACCACCGAAGACGGCTTCCAAGCGATTCGGGACATCACCGGCCTCTCAGATGTCATGGACATCGTTCACAAGTTTCTGAATCGTGAAGTGGAGCACGAGAGTTTGAAGAACTCCGTCAAGGAGGCGGAGGGAAACCTGGACCTGCTGCGACAAAGGCACGAGAAGCTGAAGCAAGAGATGGAAGGCTTGCCGGTCGACCACATCAAGAGCAGGAGCCCCATGGCGCTGCGCAAGAAGTTGGAGCAAGCCGAGCAGAAGCTCAACGAAGCCATCGAAGAGCAGGAGGCCTGTAGCGTCCAACTTCAAAAAGCCACTTTGCAGTCCGAGCACATGAAGCGCTGGGCTGCAAGGATGGGCGGAGTGCTTGCGAAGGTCGAGGAGCCCGCGAAGGTCGATGTCCCGGCTGACTTGCCGGTCTTCTTTCGGAAATTCGGCTTTGCCGTGAAGAAGTTCATCAAGCGAGTTTCTGACCAGATCAAGGCCGGGAAGATCAACCGCAAGATCTTGAGGGATTTCGAGAAGGACGAGAACAAGGAGCAGAAGGACCTGCTCTCGGACAAAACCTTCCTGTACTCCGGCAACAAGCGAGTACCGAGCCCTGATAAAGAGGGGCAAGTCTTCCCAACTCCCTGGCAAGGTGCCGGCGATGGAGCTGAAGACCACCAACCGATGAACCATGCTGAGGAGCGGGACAAGTGCAAAAATGACTCCTTCACATTTGTGGCCGCCAAAACCAAAATGCCCGACGACAAGCAGCGGAAGGGGCCAGGCAAGTAGTGTGGTGACCGCAGTGTAGGTCTCTTCCCTCAGTCTCGTCTTGGTGTGCAGCGTCAGCTCACGAAATCGGATAACGTGCCTGATGGAAGGCATTGCAGGGCCTTCTGCTTGGTAATTAGCAAGCCAACTTGACATTACATCCCAAAGCAATTCTGCAGTAGGCCAGCCGCTTCCATCAATTTCGTTTCACCCTGCAAGTGATTCCTTCGGCTTCACGGGCCGTGCGCAAACTTGACCTCCCCTCGGGGGAATGCGTGCTGAAAGGGGACGCACCAGCGAGCGAGAGAGAGAGAGAAAGAGACAGAGACAGGCGATAAGCTGTGTGCGTTTCAGAATTTCGATTTGGGTATGGTCTTTCTTTTCTCTTTCCATGCTCACTGCTTTCCGAGGTGTTTTTCGGGGTTGCCGACGCGAGGTGCTCTTGAGATCCAGAACTTATCTCATTCTCCGCAACCTTCGGCAACACAGAACTGCTTCAGTGGACTCAGTGGACGCGAGTACAATCTAACAACAGGCGTTGAGCTCTCGAGTGCCGCGTTTAACTTCCAATCATTACGAAGCTGAAGCGCATATTCTACGAATTCTCCATGTGCAACATATCGCATCGGAGTGCGGTGCCCCGCAGGCGCCAACCGGATGCTCGAGACTGCGCCCACTTCGTCTCGGATCTCGATCATGAGAGAGTGTCGGTCGACCGACAGTATCTCATGATGGAGATTTGTGACGAAGATGCACAAGACTAGGACTGCTGAAGCTCAGTTTCTGTGGGCTTTCAGAAGAGAGCGTCACTGCTGCAGGCAGGAGGTTGTTTGTCTCTTACAATGCATCTTGTCTAACTGTAGCTCATTCAAGAAAGTATAGATATTTCTGCCCGTCTGCGGCGCATGGGCCTCAATTGCCGGATGTGCACGGGTGCTTACTGCAGTCTGTCTCACAGACGAGGCTCCGCAGCAGAGGCGGATGTCTCGTAAGTTAGCTTCAGCACCCTGCCAGAGTCTGCCGAGGCATGCCACAGGATCGACCTTAGATGCGGAAAATGGCCGCTAGCTTGAAATTGGAATCCGAACAGCGTAGCATCCTGAAGCTTCGCGGGACGGAGACAAAAGCATGGGCTGCTTGCTTTGCCGATAGTGAGGCTCAAGCAGAAAAGTAGATCTTGTGTTCTGACCTGGTTGCAGCAATAGTGCTGTCTGATCAGCAAATCTACATCCATTTGGATAAACTTGTGGTGCACCATGGCTGCAGGAGGGGCACGGTCTTGAGTTTGATGGGGCATGTCAAAGACCAGCAAGGTCCGCTTAGGAACCAGGCAAGACCGACCTGTTGACGAGAGTGCCATCCGACACACCATTGGAGCACTCCTGTCTGCGGGAGGCTCCAGGGCAAGCCGTCTCATGAAAACCTCCAAACCTTCACGGACATGCGCAGTGAGGAAAGCTATCCTGCAGGCCCGACAGGACAGTCCGAAGAACACTTGGAACCATCTGAATCTTTTCCCCCCCCACCTGCAAAGCTGATGACTTTCCGAATCCCTTCTTAGAGTCTTTGAGCTTCCTTCCCGAGAGCTTTGCGGAAAAGCGTGGGCTAGAACGGTCGACATGATCAGTAGCTTGTCTGCCGGGACGGAAGAATTCGAGGTCAATGTTGTCACCTGTTCTCTTGGACGTCCACTTCATGATGGACATGTGCGACGAGGACGCGGACGACGATGGCGGCTGAGGCTCACTGCTGCAGTCTGTGGTTTAGGAGGGAATCGCACGCAGGATGCCAGTATGAGTTGACTGTTCTGACTGGACGGCACAACTTCTATTTCACCAGTTTTATGCCAGTCTGTGGCAGACTCAGTGTGCTAAGGTAACGTGTTCAAGCACTCTGAGAATGCTTGTGATCTGGGATTTGCTCGAGGCATTCAGAAACACTCTGTTGAAGAAACCCCGCC